ATTGAATAAAGATTTTTTATTCAATAATTTAGCCGAATATTTTCATTTATAAAGTTAGTCTAGGCGATAAAGACATCTAACTGGACATTTTGAGGTGGAAAAGAAAAAAATGGTAGAATATGTTCAGTTAGGTGTCAAAAACAACATATTAGAAATCCCACCCCCCAGACCCTGTGCTAACGGCTCCAGCCAACCCCCCAAAAACCGTGTTTTCGCTCTTTTTGGCTGATATCTCGCGATCTATGAGGTCTATATGAAATATTTTTAGCTGAAAATATTTCTCGGGAAATTTTATACAAGGTAGATATTCAGAAGTTAGCCTAGGTGTACCTCTTAGCCTAGGAAATTCATAAAAGAGGCGAAAATCATCAATTTTCGTGGCTTTTTGCAAATATATCGCGACCTTTAGTGCTAGATGAAATATTTTTAGCTGAAAATGCTCCTCGTGAAATTTCTTACAAGGTAGATACTCAGAAGTTAGCCTAGGTGTACCTCTTAGCCTATAAAATTCATAAAAGGAGGCGAAAATCATCATTTTCGTGTTTTTTTTTGCGGTTTTTTGCAAATATATCGCGACCTTCAGGGCTAGATGAAATATGTTTAGCTGAAAATGCTCTTCGTGCAATTTCATACGAGGTAGGTAACTGAAGAGTTGGCGTAAAGTCACCTTTCACCTTCAACTTTCATGTGTGAGGAAATATTCATTGTAAAACAAAGTATTTCTATGTACCATTTATTCACGTAAAAACAGTATTTTCATATCAAAATATTCACACATTCATTTATACCTCAACGTAATCATTATCCTCTGCAGATTCCACCTCTTCAGGCTCTTCGACGTCCTCTTAAGTGGTAGTGGTTCGTAGTTCTCGTCTTCCGCTTTACCTGCATGGGCACCCTGAAGAGACGACGTGGCATTTAGGCACGATGTTCCATGACACTGGACGCAGAATTCATTCTTCAGACCTACAACGAGAAGCATTATGTCAAAAAAAATTTTATAATTAAGTATACGAATATAATATTCTCTCGTGTGTACTAACTCCTTAGTGTCCGGTGGAGAAGGTTTACCTGATTTTCTGAAACTGCAAGCAGTCATTGCAACCACATTCACAGCCACATGAAATAAATTTGAGGAGACTTTCCTGGGCTGGATCCGAAGTCGTTGTGATAGGCGTCATAAACGATCTTCTTGTAAAGTCAATCCGGGGACATACGGTATAACAATTTTTTTTTAATTTTTTTGCCGTTTATACCTAAATATACATTTGTTCCCCATGCCTTACATTCGAGGGATGGTCTTTTGTAAATTAGTAATATACAGGCTGATTCAAATTCGAGGGCCACCATCATGGGTATCTCGGGAACTGTAAGAGATAGGTAGGTGGAAAATTTGGCAAAGTTGTGTATTTTGATGCTTAACAAAAACAGTTTTGAAACTGAAAATTCTGACTACTTTCGGAGATATCCGGAAAAAACGAGATTTTGAAAATCGTTTTTGTTTTTTACTGAAGTTAATAGTTGTTTACAAAGATATTTAATAATAAATGACACATTATTATGGCCACTTTTTTCCCTCTACAAGATGCTACTTTTAAATTTGAAGTTTGACGTTTCGTCTCCGGTTAACTATCACCAACTTTGTTTCTTATGGAAGTAATTTTTACTTTTTGTGTCATTAGATAGAGAATTTTTTTCTGATTTCAAAAATGTACACATCAATTTTTTTAATGCTTGTAAAATATCTTTTTTGCCTTTGTCTTAAGTAACGTACGTAAGTAGTTTCTTGCGTTTTTACGAATTAACGTTATTTCTTATTAAAAATAGATGATGTTACCATCAAGGGTAACTTTGTCAAATGTAAACTACCTCTACCTATCTCTTACAGTTCCCGAGATCCCCATGGTGGCCTTTGAATTTGAATCACCCTGTATAGGTCAATTATTACACATTACACTAAACTGACTAAACTAATACTAATATGTAATAGGTACTATCATTGAATAAAGAGCTTTATTCAATGGAACTATTGAAGTTCAAAAAATTTAATTTGCAACAAGGTATGGATTATAAATTACGGTATTTTAATCTGCAATAAGCAAAGATAAAGAATAAGGAAGACGGTGAAACCAATCGCATTACAAATAAACACCCACACAAGGTCGCATCTTGCCAGACATCAACAACAATATACAACAGCCCTTTGTTCTAAAAATTATGTAAAATTTTTATATTTGTTGTAAAGGAATGTTACCTATCCCCATTTCTATTATTTATTTCATAAAACGATAGGTAGAGGAATGAATAGGAAAGAGAAACCAAATAAATTTCGAAGCAAGTAGTTGACAAAATAAAAATACACCAGTGAACGATCTTTTTCTTGCTGTCAGCAAATTCTATTACACGCACGCTCTGTTCAACCATTGAAATAGTGTTTTTATTCAATGGTTCAACCTTGAAAGAGAACCGCTAAATGATTTAGCATAGGCAACTTACATAGCCTGCTAGTTTTTTTTGCTCGTAAATTTTTGGTCTTGTTATCCCCATTACACAGTACTAGTACTAGCCTAGTTAAAAAGTAAGAACAACTCCATCGCAAGATAAAAGCGCTTACCTATTTCATATCTTTATCGTATTTTTTTACTGATTTCATAAAACTCTTGGTGGCACCCTCTGTGAGAAAGAAGCTACACTGTTGACCGCGATATTAGTCACAGCTGCGTAGTTTATTTCCATTTCTCCAGTTTACATGCCCATTTTTCAGAACTTCATTCACCACTTTTTTTTATGAAAACTTTTGAGCTTCACATGAATTGCCAAAATATAGATAAGTATTCACGCTACCGATCCCATACATCCGTATTGCTTAAAATGCTCCCTAATTTTTGCAATTAATTCCTAAACTATGAACTCTTTTGACGCATGTTTTCTAGATTTTTTAAACATATATTAATGGACAAAATATCAGTTTATATTGTATGGAAACTATGCTCTGTACATCTATCTACCTAATGCATATTTTTCCGATCATATACACCCCTTGCTTATGGAATGGTGAATGAAGTTCAGAGGCAATGCACGCCCCATTGAATTACATGTGCATCACCAGTTGCCTATACTCTCTAAATCCAAACCTTAACGGTTCATATATTGTAAAATATAGAGGGATTTAAATTCTACAGCGAAATTTTTTAACAGAGTGAGGAAATGTGTTCGTTAGATCGTTACACCAGATTTAGACAATTTTTTATGTTTTGAAGCTTAAGCGAATTCATGATTTTGTACTTCCCGTCCGTCCGTACGTCCGTCCACCCGTCCATCTGTGTACATGATAACTAGAGATAGGTTTCGAATTTTCCAATTCTGTTTTCAGTAATAGGTAGACAATAGTCAAGGAACTAACTGATTACATTTTGGTCAATACTCGTCAACTGGAATCTGGAAGTGATCTTGTCGCTTGTTGTCTATATTGGTGCAGTTTATTTCGCAATGCGCCGAAAAAATCGTGTTATATACATTTCTGTAAGGATTTAATGCTCTTTAATTTTACATAAAACAATTTTTTTCCTAAAAGCAACTCTGACTTAGTTATGAGCCAAAAACCATCTATTTCCAGATTGTCACGTCCAGTATTTCCGGGAGTCCCGCGTTTTCAGCACATTTTTTCATTCAGCAACCGATCAATTATTTTGCAATTTGTTCACGGTCAAACTACAGAATGATTCCACTGGTACGCTTATAGGGGATTTACACCCCTTTTTTTGTATAAATTCATAGTTTGGTAATATTTGCGAATCCGAATCCCAAGCCATAGTGTAACGAATAGAATTACACTATGCCCAAACTAACTTGAGTGAATTTTGAAAGTATTTGCTCGCAATGTACTTCTGGTAAAAATAGTTGACTAAATCGTTTGTTGTTGTACATATTTGAATTTAACCTGAACACGCACACGTTGATCAAACATTTTTTGGGTACCATCTGTACTGTAGGCAGTCGACCTTTGACGTCCCGATTACTGCTTTTGCTGCTCTATGTTTGGGTTGCGCACCTTTGTCCATGTGGATGGCTGCGAGTTGTTTCCCCGTAGCAATGTGGTTTATTGCTGGAAATGTCCAGGATGCGAAATATTCTGGTAGTGGAATTGTCCTACAACCGAGTGTATGGCCATTGGGTTGGACCATTGAATAAGCACCTTAAAGAAGTATAACGCCCGTGTTAACTGATGAAATAAGAAAATCTGCCCAGGATTCTGTCGTCCCTCTGTTGTGTTGTGGGGGAAAGTGAACCACAAATTTAAAGCTAGTTACCGACTTTGCAGATTTCTTTACTTCTTTAAAATTCCAACGTTGCCAGATTTTTGGCAAGCGCTTTGAGTTTGAATAAACTAGATTAAAATATTGAATAAGCTTTTATTCAGTGACAATAACAATATTATATATTACAATATTAAGGGAGGATCAATCTGAAATGTAAGATCATAAGGAACAATAAATAAAGTAAAAAATGTCGTTTAATCTAATAAGAAAACAACAAGAACTGTTCTAAGGACCATTATCTTTACATAATAAACAATCAAACTTTACCTAGCTCCATATAAGGACCTGGTAAATATGACAACACTGTTCAACTCTGATAAACAAGGAACACAAAGGGCCCCTAAGTATAACTGGTTTCCCTGTTTAAAATAGTAATTATTTACCGCCCGAGGCCAAATATCCGTCAATATTTGTGGTAATTAACCACTTTGCAGTGTATGCAACACACCTTACACCAATTTCAGGTTTGCTTATTCAATGGTTGGACGAATTCAAATTCGTTGTTGCGCGCTATGTATGTATGATGTGTTGCCTGACATTCTGTACTCCGTAGCGGGAACGGTACCAGTAAGTAGCAGCCTCTGGTGCGAAAATGGCACAAAATAGGGAACTGTATTTTACCGGGAAAGGTAGTGATCTGATTCGGGTGCGGCATAATGACATGCGCGGGTTGCGACGCAGCGAAAGTCTACCTACTTCCATCCTTTGAACGTATATCAGCCATCGCCCGTGTACCCACATAACGGTATTTAATTTTACGGTAAGTTGGATATTTATATCTAAACCTTCCTTTGGTAAGTCCAACGCGCGCACAGCCATGAATTCAATATAAGAAGTTAGTGGTAGTAATCGATGTATATTCAAATGGGTGTTTATCCGAGCATTGAGCCATGACAGTGTGAATTAAAAGTGCTTAATGAACTTTATGTTTGACGGTAAACTTTAAACTGATTCGTGAGGTGACGACATCCCTATCGCCCTGAAGAGATTGAGACTGTCAATTAAAGAAGCCGAAGCTGGACAGTTCGCAATGTATGTATTATTTATAAACTTCCTGGTGATTGATAGTTTTGGAAGAGGGTATAGTTTTGGATTGTTTTGAGGGCTCGTCATCGTCTGGAATCAAAAGTGTTTATTATAAATTAGTGCTTTATTGCTTATGAATCATCCTGCATTTTTCGGTGAATAAAAAAATCATTACTAATCCTCCTTATTTATTTCAATTAAGAAAGGCATGTTATCCTTTACTATCAAAAACTACCTTTTAGTTTGCAATTACTTTCGCTATATTCTACTGTTCGGCTGCTTCCTGTTCGGTTGTGGTTTCATTTTATCGGGATGATTACGTGTTATCCCCGGCCGTATTCGGTATAGCATTTACTCACCTTTTTTTTTCTTTAGAAGTCAATACGGACGGCGGGATTTGAGGAACAATAATGAGAGAATATAAGATCGTCGTGCTCGGTTCTGGTGGTGTCGGAAAGTCAGCTTTAACCGTTCAATTCGTGCAAGGAATATTCGTAGAGAAATACGATCCAACGATCGAGGACAGTTATAGGAAACAAGTTGAAGTCGATGGACAGCAATGTATGCTAGAAATATTAGATACCGCTGGAACAGTAAGTATTAAAGAAATTAAGGTACTTATTCTAAACATCCTGTTTCCAATAACCAATCTCTTTGTTAGTAATTGATATTACTCATTATAAATACTCCTTTTTTGGTTTGGTTTTCGTTACCAGATTGTGCTTCATCATGCTGATAATTTATTAATATTTACTGGCTGTAGAGGAAATCTTTTTGCACCATTTTGTGTAATTTGGTAATTTTGGCGCCTACTGATACACCCAATAACGCCAGAGCTCTGTACTGTACTGATGGTTGGTTTCACCATGATCACCCTTTGTGTCAATTTTAAACACAAAAAGAATAATTACATTTGGTTGATTTTAGGCATACTGTTATTTATTGCAGTGTATTTTATTGTTTGTGTATTTTCTGTTTGTTTCCTTGGTTGTTATTTTTTTTTCAGGTGTTCATACTATCTTAAATTTCAAGTTATTCTTCAATTACAGCTTTCAATATTGTTTTTATAATCATTTTATTTTCAATCCCATGTTACGATTTTGTTTGTGTCGCTGACATTTGGCAAAACCACTTTTTTTGTCATTTGTTTATGTGAAATAATCACAGGGGTCAAGTGTTTGTACAATTGGATAGTCTTCTGCTTTGTCACTTGCTGTATACTTTCCGAATTTGTGTGTTTTAAAAAACTTTCCCATATTTTCGTTGTTTTTTCTGTTTGCACGTGCTTGTTTCTTTGACATTTGACATCAGACCAGATTTCATGACCAACAGTCCTGGAAAGTACGAGCCTACCCACAGGCGCAGGTTTTTCCTTGATAGGCCTGTGATCTTTTGTTTTTTCTGGGTATCTTGAGTGATTAGATTAGTTGCAGTGGATACTGTAAGTAGGAGAGTCGATTCTGGCCCATAAAATGGTTTTTTGGCAGCCACTCTGACTAGCTTGTTGACAGGTTTAAATTAATTATTTAATATACTTAAGTAAGTACATGTGAGTAATACATGACAATTTACAATTAATCTAATCGAACATTAACTTATTAATATGTCTTTTCTTTACAATGTTCAATCTTACAGGAGGTCTGACCGAGTAATTGTTTGATCATTTTATACTGTAGGTGATGACGTAACATTTTCACAATGACTATTGCCGCCTTTGTAAATAGGACTAGAGCTAATGTTATTGTAACTACGAAATCTGCCAAAGTCTATAGTTGCTAGACTAATCTTGAGCATTACCGGGAATATTACTAGCGTTAGAGTAAAATTAGAATTTATGCTTTGGTTGTATACATACAAACTATTTAATAAAATGTTTATTTAATTTGATATTGCACCAAAGAATAACAAAATTTATTTGGTGTAATTTAAGTATAACCATTTATACTTGGTAATTTTTGTATGTGTCCTATCCCAATATAATTTATGTGTGTTGTTTTCAAGTATTATCTGTGGAATGTATTTGTAGTATGGTGTCTTGTATGTTATGAGATTATGTTTAAGAGCTAATTTTTGATGTATGATTTTAGCTATCTGATTGTGTCAATGCCTATATTCTGTTTGTGCAAGTCGGTGCATGCCGATATTATGTGTTGGATTGTTTTTGGTGTTCGTGAACAGAGTCAACAAGGATCATGTGTCAGTGTTTTGTCTTTAAGTATGCATTTTTTATAGTTGTGTGTGTTATTGTCCTGGTCTTGTATTGCTAACATGAAACCTTCAGTCTCTAGGAAGATATCACTTTCACATAACCAATTGTGTGTTGCTATTAAATCAACGCAATCCTGGTTAACATCTTGTGGAAATCGTCCATGTAAAGGCTTTTGGTTCCATGTGTGTGTGTTATTTGTGATATATGTAAGTTTATTTATTTATTGTCCCTCGTGGTGTTCTATGCCTTCAACAGGCTTACGCCCAATTACAGAGTGATCCGCATAATACTTTTTGTAGTGGTGCCTCTGCAGAAGGTCTTAGGTTGTTCTATACTACGGTATTTACCTTACGAATTAGTTTTGTGTAGGTTAAGGGGTGTGTCAGATTTGTCTGCATATGTTACTGTTTTGTGTAGGACTGAAGTGTCTGATTTGTTATAAAAGTATTGTCGTAATATTGGTGAAATTGATTTATGTCTGTAGGTCCTCTACCTCTTTGTGAACAAGGAAGGTAAAGTCGTATAGTAGAGGAGTGAGGGTGATTTATATGGTGTTTTGTTAATAGTGTAAGGGTGTTTCTTTGTATTTATTATTATTACATAAGACTTCACCTCATTTAGTTTAATCTTCCAATCCAGTGTCCAACGGCTTATCTTGTCTAGGGCGAATTGAAGTTCTTTGATTGCCCAGTTTTGTGAAGTATTAGTAGCCATGGTGATAGTATCATCAGCGAAAGTTCCAATGAACGCGTTTTTTGTTGTTGGAATATCTGCTGTGTACAGGATATTTAGCAGGGGACTAAGGACGTTGCCGTGTGGTACTCCTGTTGGGGGTTGTGTAAATTTGGGAATAAGCTTCCTCGTGTGACACTCTGAATTCGAGCAGTTTGCAATAGTTTTCTGGCAACAATTTGCTCATTTTATGGTTCCACACTCTGTCAAATGCCTGCGAGATGTCTAGAAATACTACTGGGCAGTACTTCTCTTCTTCAAACACACCCTCGTTTACAGCTGTGACTCTGTGTGCATGGTCAATGGTTGCATAATTAGGTCTGAATCCAAATTGAAAGGCATGGAGAGTTTGAGATGCTTCAGGAAGAGTTTTTTAAACGAAGCTATTACTAGAAAGCAGAGTTCCCTCTAAGGCAGAATACCAGTGGCGAAGCTGTGGCCGTACCCGTTCGGGTCGGATAATACCCAGTTAGCCGCCGCCCCACAACCCCCCCAATCCACAAACTCCACCACATTGTTTGGAATATGTCGCGGCCCAGCGCGATGGCAACAAAGTAATGGTGAAACGTCCCTGATAGGACCTACCAGGGACGCATCCTCACGACAGTTGACTAAATCCTGGGAGAGGCGGCGACGCCAGGCATATGTCAAAGTTTCAAGTTTCAACGATATGGGTCTATGTAATGTATCCAGGATATTTTTTTGGATTAATGTTTTTATCAATCTCTCTAGCTCTTTTCCATAAGAGTGATGCATTGAAAGGACTTGTATTGCTGAAATTAAATACAAAATTCTCAATCCTTTGAATTCGATTCTTATCAATAAATACACGGTGTGGCAATTTCTTCTCTTAGGTGACGAGATGTTACAGGAAGTGGTCATAATTGATCCGATTCTGTTTCTGCGGCGTTTCCATGGAAGGAGACATGGCGATTTGTGTCAGCGACATTTATTGTCTCACTATTAAAACAGTCACAGCCCTAAATGTCAAATGCAGCTGTAAAACAAATGAGGGCCATTCTACGCTATGGGTGAACAATAGGATCTGGAGCACCTATACTAGGGCGAAGAGTAGGTGTTGTGGTTCTATTCTAGTCGACTGAATTTCTATCCCGATGCACACTCTTTTATACCCCATTTCTGTGGTGGAGGTATGTCACTGTCAGCTGATAAAATTTTCACATCTCAGTTAGCTTCGACCATTGCTTATCTGGCAGTTGATCATAACAATATGGCGTTGACGTATAAACACTACATACAATACAAAATCTGTGATGCAAATAATTTTCACAGGTCAATTCCTTTAGGAATATTAAGATTACTTCAAACAAAATTACTACGCAAACTCTTAAAAATAATCAACCACTTCGTTATACATAGTAAAGAATTTAAAATAACTTACAATTGTTGAAGAAGGTATGGTAAACAATACATCGCTAAACAATTTTTTCACACACCAATATCAATACGTGGTCGCTGCTGAAGTTAAACGAAAATTCTTTGTATTTATGCCAAATACACCAACAATAATAATAGGTAAATTAGTTTACCCAAATTGATACTCGCACTCTTTTCGCTATTCGAATCTTGCCCACGAGAAAAAACTGAAAAGTCCCAAGAGATCGTGGCAACCGCCTTCACTTTTCCCAATACATTTATTTCTTGTTATCGCCAGACAGTTTCGTTCACGTTCACTATGAAGCGGTACATGTGGAAATTTAAAGTGGGCACTATTTTGGAGAGGGTGTTTTGGAACAATTTTTACGAAATCGGAAAGGACATGTCCAAAAAGCTTTCCAAGGAGACTGTACTCATCGTTTTGTCTTATAGCTGAGGTTAAGTTCTCAGTTCACTTGGAAAAATGCTTGTTTGGTTCTTCTACCAGAAATTTTGTTTACTGCGCCTACACCTTGCATAGTGCAACAAGGACTAAAACAAAATTTTCGATGGAATTCTCAGAGCCCAAGCCAAATTTTTTTATCAGGCTACCTTTAACTCTAATTGGTGGTGTAGTGCTGTTAACCGAAAAACGTTTGCTATTCCACCCAGTAATTGACATCGTGCACTTTTGAAATGACTTATTTATTTCAGGAACAATTTACTGCCATGAGAGATTTATACATGAAAAATGGCCAGGGCTTTGTGCTGGTGTACTCGATAACTGCTCAGTCAACGTTTAATGATCTCCAAGATCTTCGAGAACAGATTCTGAGAGTAAAGGTAATGTACTACACTACACAATATCACTTCGTAAATATGTCGCTAAAATTCGTGCAGCTCACACTACAACTTGGGAATTGTTGCATAATTTGTCCAAACTTTTTTGTGTTTATACGAGCGTTTTTTTTTAAAGGACACTGATGATGTACCAATGGTATTGGTGGGCAATAAATGTGATTTGGAAGAGGAGCGAGTTGTAGGCAAAGACCAAGGAAACAACCTATCACGCCAGTTTAACTGTGCCTTTATGGAGACTTCTGCCAAAGCTAAAATAAATGTTTATGATGTAAGTGATTGGTCGTAATCAATTTTATTACATGGCGTACCTACTAAAATTTGGTTCCTTGTATTGAGAGAAGTGGTCCAAGGGTATTACCCTGTGCCACACCTTTGCTGCAATATAACGTAAGGTAAGACCTACTCCAGGTGGTCGATACTCTCTCGCAACGCATGAGAGCTGAACGAGTCGCAATTCTGAAAATTGAGAGATTAAAAAAGAGTCTTACAATGAATGTGTATTTTCTCTTCTAATTTATCCCTATTACCTTGTTTGCGAAAATATGACTTTGATCAACCATACTGCTTGCCATCGTAGTTTGCTTGGTACTGTACACTTCTGTGTTTGTATAATTGCAGGCAGAAGTGATGATTTTGCTGGTGTTGCTACTTCATTTTTAGCAAATCTTTAATTAAAATGCTTATATGATGAAGTAATGGAATCTTTTTGTTCACAGGTATTTTACGATTTAGTTCGACAAATCAACAAAAAGTCACCTGAAAAGAAACAAAAGCAGAAAAAGAAATCTCTTTGTGTACTTCTATAATTATGAGAAACTAAGTTGTAATTTCAAGACTATTATGTTTTTTGAAAAAGTGTATAGGCATGAAGGCAAGTGCGGACCAGGAGCGTCAATTGTGTACTGAAAGCCAGCTCTGCAAAAAATTAATTACTATTTAATCAATATTTCTATTTGTAATTCGATTTTTCAATATACCTATGTTAGTTGAAGTTTTTAAATCAAGTTATACAATTTTTTATCGATAATTCTTATTTTCTTGCGAGAAATTTAAGTTGTAAGACTTTTACTGCCAGATAATCAGTGTCAAATAGAATATAGCAACTTTGTGAATCAGTGGCGTGAGATGTTTCGAGTCTAAGACTATCAACTGGACATTTCTTCGACCACAGTTTTAGGGTGTTTTATATTCCTATAGATTAAGTCTAGTTGCATATCCGGACTCTGTGTGGTAGTTACATATAGTAACAAGCTTGGAGTAAGCACTTAGGCATTTATGCAGACTTATTTGGTGCTGACTGCCTTCTTCTTCCATATTTGTTTGTCTGCATGATTGCTATAATGTTCGTAATGAAATGATTGTTTTAGGTACAAAAATTTATTATAGGAAAATGAGTTACGTAGTTCTTTGTGCTTACTCCATTCAAAGAAATATATTAACGTGTAATTGAGAGAAATTTTTCTTATGTAATTTTCATGAATCTTAAATGTATCTTGTGTAATTTGAACATGAATTACCTTTGTTAAAACTTATAGCAATTTGTACTACTTAAATGTTTCTTTATTGTTTGTGTTTATTTGAAATTGTGATAAACTTTAATTCCGCTTATATAGTTGTTTGAAATATAATGCTCTTATTTCGCACCTGCCTCTTGCACAAATGGCAGTACCAAATAAAGCACATCTTACAATGCAGTACCGCTTCCGAGGACTTTTGTCGAATGCATTGAGTATAGTTAATATATACATATATATTTTCTGATTCACTGGATACCTTTTTTTGATTTTAATCGCAAGTACCTACATGTGTCAGTTGAAGAGTTTCTTCCGATTAAACCAGTTAAAAGAGTTGTATAAAAAACAATCTTGTTGTTTTTTAATATAAATGTATGTTAATGTATTGACGCTAAATATAATTAAAATTCAGTACATGCAAAGTTTGTAAGTATACTGTTTATCATTCTTTATAGATTAATACCTAAAAAAGAAAGTTTAATTAAAAAATTTGTAATTTGCTCATTGTCGGCTGTTGCAAAGATGAAACTCTTTATTAATAAAAAATATTATCAAATTTTATTTTTTCCATCCTTACATTTCTAGTCGTATAAGATACATATTCGATTAAAATTATTATGTGCTTTCACATAATTTGTTAATTTCTGTTCATGACCTTTTGAGAGGACACAAGTTTTAATTACGCTCATAGATGTCGATGTTTTCTTTCTGAATTTCAACTTAGTCACCTTGTATCTTTGCTGCTGGCTCCACCATATTAAAAAAATGGCACCTAATAGCAGTCTTTCGCATATATATGGTTTTTCGGAACATCCCCTCTGACTGCTACGGTACAATGTAAATCTTTATATACAAAATTAAACAAGAGAAAATTTATGTAATAACAATTTTTTTGTAAAATAGTTTTGGCCTTTGAATATAGAATCAAAGGTTTTGACATATGAACGCCGCAAAGTGTACTTCAACATGAATTTTGCCTAAAAAAATGTCCACGCCGCCTTAAAGTAGAGTAATCGCCGCAAACTATTATTCATCGCACCAACTTTTAGTATATTTACAGAAAATATTTTAGGTTGAAGGTTTTATGCTTGATGGCCTAGTCCACTATACCAAGCTAAACATACAACCGACCTGCATATCTCAGATGAGCTTACGTTAGAAAGTCTAACTTTAGCTACAAGGGTCCTGGGTTCGAATCCCAGGTAAGGCATGGTTGTATAGTGGGAAGAGTAGCAAATTGCTAACACTTCGCCCACTATAAAATAAAGGCAATAAAATAAAATAAATATTGTACACCTATAAGTTACGGTCTCTAAAAATTACCAAATGCATATAGCTATTGCCCATTTATTTAACATAGAGTTTCTTTGTTCAGGAATATAAAATAGTAACACCGGTTTATAGCAATCAATAGCAATAATTTATTGTCCAAACAGACGATCCAGTCTAAACAGAGGACAAACTCATTCCTCAATAACAGCCGCGCAGAAACAGAAAAATTAACAAAAATTGAACTTAATTAAAATTAATTATGATAGATTTATAATTAAGGCGAAAGAAAATTGTTAAGTCATACAATAAACAAAATAAAGTGATAAGTAAAATACATGTAGGTAGTGATAAATTGGAGAAATCAATGGCAAAAGCAAAAAAAAACAAAACAAAAACTGATTTGATCATACTTAATTTAAAGTGTTAAACATATCAACAGTATCACATATACAGTTATAATTATGACACATTCGATAAATATTGGTGAATTTTGTAAAAGATTTTTATAAGGAAAATTGAAACAAACACTTCTTTCGATAACGGAAATAAGGCATGTCAGCACCTGTGGCTAATGGCTATAGCTGAAGCAAATTGTTTATACATGGCTGCGGGCAGCTTTAGCGTATTTTTACCACAACAACTAAAAAAATACACTACTGTAGTCGCTTTGTTTGTGCGCCTAGTCGTACTAGTGCGATAGGTATTTATTTAAAACGGTTTTCTTCCTGAAATTTCAGTAGCAATCACTTAATAAAGTAAATTTTGTAGGTATATTAACGTTCCGGAGTCTATAACTTTTGATTGAGAAGTCTGATCGAAAAAGAATTGTTTTGGATTCTACACACCAAAATTAATAAGAAAAAGTGTTTTCCCGAGTAACTTTGGTGCAGTCGATTTTTGGTAAAAAAGGAAGGTTATACACTGCCTTTTTTTGAGGCGCGAAAAAAAAATTGTCTCAGATCGACCCGGAAAAAAAATTTCTTATAGAATGTGGCCTGTAGAATCCATAATTTCAAACAGTTCCAAGAGATTGGCTACTAGTTCAAAGTTACAGCGCCTTTTGAATTTTCTTTCGAGATTGGTTTCTGAGTCTATAACCTGGATTGAAGAAGTCTGAGATCGAAAAGTGACGAATTGTTGTTGGAGTTCTACGCACAAAATTAATAAGAAAAAGTGTTTTCCCGAGAAATTTTGGTGCAGTCGATTTTTGGTAAAAAAGGAAGGTTATACACTGCCTTTTTTTGAGGCCCGAAAAAAAAATGGTCTCAGATCGACCCGGAAAAAAAATTTTCTTATAGAATGTGGCCTGTAGAATCCATAATTTCAAACAGTTCCAAGATTGGGCTACTAGTTCAAAAGTTACAGCCCCTTAAATTTTCTTTCGAAATTGGTTTCTAGTCTATAACTTTTCGAATTTCATGAAATTTTAATAAATTCAACCATATTCAGGTAATTACTTTTTTTTACCTTCACGTATATTACTAAAAAAGTACATCAAATCAATGAACGACATCACCCACATAGCACCTGACGTTCTTTGGACATCCGTTTCAAGTCCATTATATGTACGAATATGTTCTTCTCGAAACGCCGTGGAAATGTTTTAAATATATGTTCCATAAATGTCCTTTATAGTGGACATAACTCTACGAAAATACTTTTACAATAGACATTTAACACGTGCTGAGCAGTAACTGATTTAAAAAATGACAGGCGCCGTTATGAAAGGTGTAAAATTGACTTTTTTTTTAAATTCTGGACGTTTCCAATCTCCATTTTTAAGAATTTACAGCTAACACCTCGCTGCGCCGGCGTGTTCACTAATCAACGGTCGCAAGTACAACGTATCCGGTGGGCCATCATCAGTGCATCGAACATCGTTTACTTTTTTATCCTTATTAAAGTAAGTAAACATTATCTTTTATATAATACCTAACATATTAATAATGCTGTTGATAAATAATTACAATTTGACAGGTGTAAAATGGAAGAACATAGCGAAAAGGATCTTATCAAGGACCCGACAGGTAATTCTAAATTCTTGCTTTTGTCTGTCTGTGTGCCTGTGCAATAACTATTGATTATTATTGAACGGAAGGTCCTGCCGGTTTGAAACTCTGTGCATAGGGTCGTTAGGACCTTCCGTTCAATAATAATCAATAGCTATTGCACAGGCACACAGACAAACAATAGGGACTTCTAATATATAGCTTTGATGGTATAGTAGTTAAGTAGTCTACGAGTAGATATATACACATATATGTCGGTTAAAGGGGGAGCCCTATTAAATTTAGGTCAACGTCAACCTCAACACCGTAGTTGGGGGAGGAATGAGCGTCTGTATCTATATGAAAAGTTTCTTTGTGGCTAATATTTTGTATGGTGAAAGGGCGTGGGAAAATAATGTTGAATCGATTTAGTTTATGCACCCGACGGCTGGCGCCCTCTAATTAATTCCAGGAATTTTCAGCTATTGGTCATCTTGTAGTAGCAGAGGTCGCCACAAACACTACAATAAATTATCTATATCGCTAGACAATAAAATTTGTAGTTGTTTGTAGATGGCGTTGTTTTTGTTGCTAAACAAATTTCTAATAATAACCAGGCAACCACAGCATTGAAAAGCTGCTGGTGACAACGGAGCCGTCTGTAAAATATTCATCCACAGTCATTCGTCGGTGCGTTGACTTGTTTCCCAAAACAATTACATTTTTATTTTATGAATGACACAAACATGTCTCGCCGAGTGTACGGTTATTGTGATTTTCTACGGCTATTTGTATTGAGTTTTCTTGTGTCACAGTGTCCTTTGTCCAATTTATTTATTTAATAAAGTGGTGTAAATGAATCAGGGTTGTAAATTATTGTGATAAAACTGCGTAACTAATCATTTTTGTGGAATATCGATGGATTAGGATTTTCTTTTCTTTAACAGTCCGTAAGTATCTACGCATTTTGTGATCAATTTTGCGCCATAGCGACATTCGCAAACTTGCAGTCTACATTTTTTGGTTTGCACAATGTTCTTGACTTGACAAAGAACCAATTAATACATATATCGCCGACGTCTGAATACCGTTTTTTTGCAGCGCTGGTAAAAATGTCAATAGACATTGAAGGAATAAACAGTTAGTTTAGGTAATGGCAATTCCCATTTCTAACGAGTGTCAATAAACCGCTACTGCTACACGGCTACAATCTTCAAATTTTTAGCAACCGGAATGCAATTTCGCTGTTCTTTTTATTGGTTCACTAACCCTCAAATGAAACCCCCGAAGTGAAGGGGACGACGCGTGAGACGTCGAATCCTTACGTGAGATTCTCTCGCTGTTTTGACTGTTCTCTATTCTATTGCGATACGAATAGAACGCTTAAATTCGTAATTTAATTACATATCGAGTGACCCCCTTTTTTCAACTAACAATACAATTTTGAAGGCCGTAGGTGCTTTGCAACACCGATTCAGAATTGTTACACGTTTCAACATTGTTCGATTTAGTTTAGCGGCGTTTCGTCAAATGTACAAGACAAGACCTCGGCATGGCATAGAAATCCTGTGCAAATAGTGGGATTGGATTAGTGGCAGATTATAAACAAGGGCACATCGAGGGGCACGTACTAATAAGACTGTTTTTGGAGATTTTGCATATTCTTGTGAAAAAAGGCACATATCAACCTTCGAATTATAACGCTGATATTAAAAATAACCACGTTATAATATATTTATTGTAAAACACTTTTTTACATAGTTATTAATGGCGACGCATTCTAAATTTGACAACAACCAAAAACACAAAAACACAATAATATGGGCCGTCTGTCGTAGTTGGCAGGAACGCGGCCACGGGCCATGTCTTCTGCAACGCC